GGGGGGGGGGGGGGAAGGGGTGTGGGAGATGCGGGAAGAGACTGGACAAAAATCGTGCACCTATGGATGAGGACAGTGGGTGGGGGGAGTGAGGGGAGGGTGGGGCGGAAACTGGGAGGAGGGGAGTTATGGGGGGGAAAAAGAGGAACAAATGTAATAATCTGAACAATAAAGATTTAATTTAAAAAAAATAAATAAAATCAGAAATGAAAGAGGAGATGTTACAACTGATACCACAGAAATACAAAGGATCATAAGAGGCTATAATGACCAACTATATGCCAAAAAATTGGATAACCTAGCATAATGCATATATTTCTAGAAACATATAACTTACTAAGACTGAATCAGGAAGAAATAGAAAATCTGAATAGACCAGTGGTTCTCAACCTTCCTAATGCCATGACCCTTTAATACAGTTCCTCATGTTGTGGTTAACTCCAACCATAAAATTATTTTCATTGCTACTTCATAACTGTAATTTTGCTACTGTTATGAATCTTAAATATCTGATTTGCAGGATGTATTTTCATTGTTACAAATTGAACATAATTAAAGCATAGTGATTAACCATAAAAACAATATGTAATTATATATGTGTTTCCCGATGGTCTTAGGTGACCTCTGTGAAAGGGTCGTTCGACCCCTAAAGGGGTCACGACCCACAGGTTGGTGACCCACAGGTTGAGAACCGCTGAAATAGACCAAATGAATCAGTAATCAAAAAGCTCAACAATCAGAAGTCTAGGACCAGATGGCTTCACTGGTGAGTTCTACCAAATATTAAAAAAATACCAATCTTCCTCAAACTCTTCCAAAAAAGGGAAGAAGAGGGAACACCTTCAAACTCATTTTACGAGGTCAGTGTTACTCTGATGCCAAAACTAGACAAGAACACAAGAAAAGAAAATTACAGGCTAATATCTCTGATGAAGATAGATGCAAAAGTTACCAAGAAAATGTTATCTAGCTGAATTCAACAATATATTAAAGGGATCATACACCATGATCAAGTGGGATTTATTCCAGGGATACAAGGGTAGTTCAACAGCCACAAATCAGTCAAGGTGATACACCACATCAACAAAATAGAGAATAAAAATTATATGATCATTTAGCAGATGCAGGAGTAGGATTTGACAAAATTCAACATCCATTTATGATAAAAACTCTCAAAAAATCAGGTATAGAGGGAATGTACCTCAACATAATAAAGGCCATATATTACAAGCCCATAGCTAACATCATATTCAATGGTGAAAAGTTCAAAGTTTTCCTCTAAGATTGAGAACAAGACAAGGTGCCTACTCTCACCACTCCTATTTAACATAGTACTATAACCAGAGCAACTAGGCATGGGAAAAAAGCCACCCAAACTGGAAAGAGGTAAAACTGTCACTATTTGAAGATGATATGATGTTATATACAGAAAATCATAAAGACTCCACTAAAAGACTGTTAGAAATAAAAGTTCAGTAAAGTTGTAGGATAGAAAATTAATATACAAAAATCTGTTGCAGGAGAACCAAGATGGCAGCATAGGTAAACACCTGTACTTGCTGCCTCCCGCAACCACATCAAAATTACAACTAAAATACAGAACAACTGTCATCCAGAACTGCGGGAAAGCTGGCTGAGTAGAAGTACAACTAGAGAGATAAAGAAGAAAACGCATTGAGACTGGTAGGAGGTGTGGAGGCGCGGAATAGGCTGGCACCCAGGTGCGCTGCTTTTTTAATTGGGAGGGAGATACAAGCTCCCACTTGCTCTGAGCTACAGTGCTGGCCAAGACTCTGGGGGACCCAGACACATATGGGGAGAAACTGGATTGTCTGGAATCGGGGCAAGAACATGGTGGCGGCTTTCTTCCAGACGGAGGTGCTTGCAATGGTCATTATTCCTGTGCTGGGACCTCCCCAGTGCAGGGCTGGACAGCAGCCATTGCTGTTTTCTCTACCCTGGAGATTCCCTGAGACCCTGCCCTACCCAATTTACAACCCCACTCATGCAGTGCACAGTGGCTTTTGCATATGAATGGCCTGTCCTTTCTCAGCCTAAAACCTGCCAAACAAGCTGCAGCTGGGTCAGGGAGCCCCAAAGGTATCAAAAGAAGGCACAAGGCCAGCACCAGCAGCAGCCTGCCAAAAATTCACAGCTGGGCCTCATCTGGGCACTTCCAAACCCCATACAAAGAAGAGAAATCTGTAGATCTCTCTGTAGCTCCTGCTGGGTGGCCCCAGGCAGTGGCTGACTTGGCACCTCCTTGGAGATCTAAGAGCCAGTGTACCCAGTTGTCAGTGTGAGACCATTCCAGATTATAACTCTTTGTATCTATAAGTGACACACTCAAGGGCAGACTCAGTGAGCACCAAAGCCCCACTAAAGCACGTCCTGCCCCATAAGGGTGTCTCCTGCACAGCAGCTCTTCCATTGTAGACACAGCTGGTCCTCACAGCCAATTGACCTGGAGGTCAGTTCCTCCCAGTGATGCCAACAGCAATCAAGGCTTAACTACAACAAGACTGTGCACAAAGCCCACAAAGGGGTGCACCAAGAGTGTTCACCTCAGGTGATTGGGGAGGCTGAGCCACTGGGCCCTATAGGACACCTAATCTATCAACTCAAGGAGACTTAGCATCTACACAATACATAGAAACAAACACAGGGAAGCAGCCAAAATGCAGAGACAAAGAAACGTGTCACAAATGAAAGAAATGGAAGAAAGCAAACTACTGGATATAGAGTTCAAAACCACAGTTATAAGGTTACTCAAGAATCTTCTAGAAACCTCCGAGGAACATAGTGAGACCTTCAAAGATCTTAATGAGAATGCCAAAAAAAAAAAAAAATGGAAAAGGACTAGTCAGAAATTAAGCATACACTGACTGAAATAAAGAATAATATACAGAGATTCAACAGTAGACTAGAGGATCCCAAGAATCAAGTCAAAGATTTGAAATATGCGAAAACAAAAACCACCCAACTGAAAGACCAAAAAGAAAAAAGAATCCAAAAGTATGAAGATAGTGTAAGGAGCCTCTGGGACAATTTCAAGCATACCAACATCCAAATTATGGGTGTTTAGTGATGAATAGCAAGAACCTGCAACCAAGATTACTTTATCCAGCAAAGCTATCATTCAGAAGTGACGGTCAGATAAAGAGCTTCACAGATAAGAAAAAGCTAAAGGAGTTCGTCACCACCAAACCAGCATTATATGAAATGCTGAAAGGTATCCTTTAAGAAGAGGAAGAAGAAGAAAAAGGTAAAGATAAAAAATTATGAACAACCAATACATATCTATCAACAAGTGAATCTAAAAATCAAGTGAATAAAAAAACCCAATGAATAGAATAAACTGGTGAATGTAATAGAATCAGCGGCATGGAAATGGAGCCGACTGACAATTCTCTGGGGGAGGGGGTGTGGCGGGGTGTGGGAAGAGATTGGATAAAGATCTTATATGTATGTATGCAGCACCTATGGACGCGGACAGTGGGTGGGGTGGTAAGGGCCTGGGGTGGGGTGGGAACCTGGTGGAGGGGAGCTATGGGGGGAAAAATGAGAGACATCTATAATAGTCTGAACAAATAAAGATTTAAAAAAAAGATTAATAGAAGAAAAAAATCTGTTGCATTTCTATACATTAATAATGAACTATCAGAAAGAGAAATTAAGAAAACAGTCCCATTAACAATTGCATTAAAAAGAATAAAATACTCAGAATAGATTTAACCAAGGAGGTGAAAGATCTTTACAATAAAAACTATAAGACCTTGTGAAAGACACGGAGGAAGACACAAATAAGTGGAAAGATATTCTGTGTTCAGGGACTGGAAGAGTTAATATTGTTAAAATGTCCAAACTACCCAAAGCAATCAACAGATTCAATGTTATCCTAATCAAAATGTCAGTGGCATTTTCCACAGAAATAGAACAAACAATCCTAAAATTTGTATGGAACCACAAAAGATTCTAAATAACCAAAGTAACGTTGAGAAAGAAGAACAAAACTGTGGAGGCATCATCACACTCCCTGATTTCAAACCACATTACAAAGCTATGGAAATTAAAGTATAATTAAAGCCAAAAAACACACATAGATCAATGTATCAGAATAGACAGCCCAGAAACAAACCAACACATATATGGTCAATTAATTTATGACAAAGGAGCCAAGAATATACAATGGGGAAAAGACAGTCTTTCTAAAGAATGGCAGTGGGGAAGCTGGGCCACTATCTTACATCACAGACAAAGATTAACTCAAAATAAATTAAAGGCTTGAATATAAGACTTGAAACCATAAAGTGTCTAGAAGGAAACATAGGTTGTAAGCTCCTTAACATGGGTCTTGGTGATGATTTTTTGGATCTGACTCCAAAAGCTAAGGCAACAAAAGCAAAAATAAACTACATTAAACTAAAAAGCTTTTGCACAACAAAAGAACCATCAACAAAATGAAAAGGCAACCTACTGATTGGGAGAAAATATTTGCAAATCACATATCTGATAAGGGTTTAATATTCAAAATGTATAAAGAAATCATACGATTCTATGAAAAAGCCCCCAAACAATTGGATTAAAAAATGGGCAAATGATCTGAATAGACATTTTTCCAAAGAAGACATACAGATGGCCAACAGGTACATGAAAAGATGCTCAACATCATTGATTATCAGGGAAATGCAAATCAAAGCCACCATGAGATGGCACCTCACACCTGTTAGAGTAGCTACCACATAAAAAATAAGACATAGGTACTGGCGACGGTGTGGAGAAAAGAGAACCCTTGTGCACTGCTGATGGGAATGTAAATTGGTACAGACACTGGGAAACAGTATGATGTTCCTCAGAACATTAGAAATAGAACCACCACACAACCCAGCAATTCCTCTTCTGAGCATTCATCCAAAGAAAATGAAAACACTAATTAAAAACGATATCGGGCCTGGCGAGTGTGGCTCAATGTTTGAGTGTTGACTCATGAACCAAGAGGTTGCGGTTCGATTACTGGTCAGGGTTATGGGCATGATCCCCAGTAGGGGACATACACGAGGCAGCCAATCAATGATTCTCTCTCGTAATTGATGTTTCTATCTCTTGCCCTCTCTCTATGAAATAAATAAAAACATTAAAAAAGGTATCTGTCCTGCGGTATTCATAGCAGCATGGTTTACAGTAGCCCAGGTATGAAAACAACCTCAGTGTTTAGTGATGGGTGAATGGATACAGAAGGTGTGGTGTATGCATCCAGTGGAATACTGTTTAGCCACAAAAAGAAGGAAATCTTGCCCTTTGCCACAAAAGAATGGAACTTGAGGGCATGATGAGTGAAATCAGTCAAAGGCTGTTTGTGAAATTTGAAGAAACAAGACCCAAATAAAGCCCAAGCTCATAGTTACAGGAAGCAGATTGCTGGCTGCCAAGGCGCAGGGGGCCGAGGCTGGACAAAATGGGTGAAGGTGGTCAAAATAACCCAGTCATAAAAGAAATAAGTCCTGGGAAAATAAAGCGTGGTGACTGTGGTTAGTAACACTGTGCTGCATATTTGAAAGTTGCTAAGAGAGAAAATCTTAAAAGTTCACGTCACAAGAAAATATTTTTTTATAACTATGAGTGGTGACCGATGTTAACTAGACTTACCGTGGTGATCATTTCCCATATGCACAGAGGGTGAATGGTGATGTTGGACACCCGAAACTAGTATGTTATTGCCAATTATACCTCAATCACAACGAGTTTAAAAGTTGGCAAAACAACAAGAGAAGAGCAGAGCCGTGTGTCCGGACGCATCTCTTTAAACCACACTCACAGTTCAAGCAGACAGAGCAAAGTCTTGCTTCTGTTCCCCAGGCGACTACTGTCCCAGGCACCACCCAAAGAACACCGACGCTCTCCCTGAAAGATGTGAAAAAAGCCCGTGTCCACAAAAAGGTCATTTTATGTTGTGTGTCTTCGACCGCAGTAAACATAAAACCAGCAAATGCTGGCTGTACACTCACAAACGCTGCGGTTGGTGAGATCTGGGCTTGTTTTTGTTTTTAAAAATATATATGTTTATTGATTTCAGAGAGGAAGGGAGAGGGAGAATTAGAAACACCAATGATGAGAATCATTGATCGGCTGCCTCCTGCACGCCCCCTACTGGGCATGGAGCCCACAACCCAGGCATGTGCCCTGACCGGGAATCGAACCCTGACCTGCTTCATAGGTCAACGCTCAACCACCGAGCCGTGCCAGCTGGGTGGACTGTTTTTTAAACAAGCTCCTCAGGTGAATCTGATGTGCAACCAAGTGTGAGACCCACTAGTCTGTCTGGGTTGTTGGCAGTGGGAGGGCAGGGCGTGGCCTCTCGGAAGGCCTGCTAGAGGAGGGCTTCTTGAACTTGAACGTGCATCCATATCCTCTGTGGATTTTCCTCGATGGCAGACTCTGACCCAGTGGGTCTGGGGGAGGCCTCTGGCTGTGCATTTCTCACCAGCTCCCAGGGACGCTGACGCTGCTGGCTGATGGTCCCCACTTGGAGTGTGAAGGCTCTGAGCCAGACGGTGGCCTCGTCTGTGGTGGACACAGTGCTGCTCTGGAAAGGAGCAGTCCACGTTTGTGAGGATTGCCCCAGACTCCGAGCTCAGCAAGGAGGAGCAGGCGTTCAGCTGCTCCATGAGCCAGCTTCTGGGTGCGGCTGAACCAGGCTGTGGTCCAGCTACAGAACACGCTGCGGGTAGAGGCAGTCGGCACGTAACATCGGGTGGGTTCTGCACAAGCCTGTCTCAATCTCCAGGCCTTCTGTTTACAGGAAGGGGCCCGGCTCAGCCAAACACAAGCTAAACTGGCTCAAAGTTTGCTTCTCTGTTGCCTCTCCAAATCCTTCGATTCCCATCTGGCCCACCTCAGGTCCAGACCTGCCTCCTGCCTCCGCTCACTGCCCCTCCCAGGGTGGAGCATGTGGGGCTCCCTGCCACCCAGCCCGCACACTGGCTCATGCCCTGATGGGTCAGGAACAGCTGCACATGGACCGGCTGCAGCCAGGAAGTGCAGGGATGCAGCTGGCTCCCCTGGTCCTGGGCCTCTTCCCCGGGCAGCACCCACAGGCACTCGTGTCCAAGGTGAAGGCAGCAGACTCTCCTGAGTTTGGTCTCCTCTCCGTCTCTCCCTGCCCCTCTAACTTTGGGTGATTTGCTGAATCCCGAGCTCCACCTTCTCCCTTTCAGGTGGAGATGGAGAGGGCGCAGCGAGGAGGTTCCCAGAGCCAACGCACAGAAAGGGCTCTGCTCAGCCTGCACAGGGCTCCCCCTGCATCCTTGGCAGCTGGCTCCCTCCACTCGGGCTTCTGGGATTCGTTCTTCCATGTGTGCTGGTCGGAGCGGGGGCTGAGTTGTGATTTCCCAGGTGTGTGTGTGTGTGTGTGTGTGTGTGTGTGTAGGGCTCGGGAAGATCTCCCGGCCCGATCGCTGCTTGCAGTTCCAGGCCAGCAGCCCAGGGGGCGCCCTGCCCTCCAGGTTGGAGCGGAGCTGGCCCTTCATCAGGTGCCTGGAGCACAGAGCTTTGTTTTCCCTGTTCTCCTTAATCCACCACTGGGTCTCTGGGGTGGGCCCTGGGTGTGGGGCCCGAGATGGAGTTTCCCCGGGGACCCAGGAGTCCCCAAGGGGCCCTCCTCCGCTCCTCCTCTGTCCCCAGGCCCCCTCACTGGATGCTCAGGGAATGTTTACGGAATAAGTTCCTTGATTATGGATAGCCGTGCATCTCAGTTGTGCAGCCCTCACTGCGGCCTCCGCTCGCAGGCACAAACCCCCGCCTTCCTCCCCAGCCCGCTGGGCCCTTCCCAGCTCCTCCTCTCAGCCGAGGGCGCAGACTCACCTTCCTTCCACGTTCCCCTTGCACACTTGGCCTTGGCTGGGAGTGCAGACCTCAGGAGCGCCCTTGCCCTTCTTAGGGGCCCTCTTTACAGCTGCCCCTGCCCAGTACAGGGAGGTCCCCCCACAACTGCTCGCCGGGCTTTCCCTAGTGTCTGGTTCTGTCCCTTCACCTGGAACCTAGTCGCCAACTCCTCCGACCCAGCCTGACTCTCCTGACTGAACTCTGTGCCCCCTCCACTAGCCCTCTCGCCCTCTGATGACCTCCCTCCCACCCCAGGCTCACCTGGCCCTAACAGTCCCCCCAGAAGCTCTGAAAGCCTCTCTGTGCGAAACGATGGTCTGGGACGGGGCTCCCCCCACCCCCGCCCCCGCCCTACCACGTAGAAACATAATCTTTATTGCACACGGCGTTGGGTCTCTTTTCATAGAAAAAGGTATTAACACATAAGCATCTGCAAATTGAAGCAACTCCTGGCTTTCGTGGGACAGTGACATCGCATGCAGTGTCTCTGAGTTGGGATTTCGGTCTTTGTCAAAACCACCGAGATTAGGGGGAGGGGGCAGGGGAGGAGAAATTGCCGAGTCTGTGCTTCTGTCTCAAAATAAGGTGAGAGAAATACACAGACATAGTTGGTCGCTGTGCTCCTATGTGCATGTGTATCTCTCGCTCCACGCGTGGTTTCTGGGTGGAGGTGACGTGTACTGTCAAGTTCTTTGTGCCCTGGCTTCACGGAGAAGAAGAAAATAGTTTCATTTGTACAAAAGAGTCCTATGTACAAGCGTTCGCAGCGCGGTCGTGGTCATGGTGGGTTGGTTCTGCCGGTCAGTTTAACGTTGATGGTTCAGGAAAGCGGCCGAGTTGGTGTTTGAGGGCTGGGGGTGCTGATGGGCCGAGGTTGGCCCTACACCAGGGTGTAGGACTTGGAGTAGGCCCCTGCCCCCTGCTTCTGAGGCCTCCCTACCCCCGACGTGCTCATCTCGAGCAGCGAGTCCCTGGAGCCCCCCATTTTGGTGTTT